TTCAACACGGCGGAAATTCAGTGGCTGGGTCGTATCACTTTGGTTTTCGTTTAACTGGTCCTCACAGCGGCGGCCTTTGCTACATTCCAAAGCATTGCTGATCGAAATAGAATTTTCGTGTGTATCTCGCCATACATTTTTTTGTCTTCTTTTGGTGTTTCGGATAATTGGGTGGCTTCAAGTTCGGACTCTTCTGACGGAGGATGGGAAGGCTCGCCATTCGCAAATTTTCGTTCTCGTGCCAACACCGCCAATGACTCACCCTCCATTCCCAATTCCTGATCGGCCTGCATTTCGGCCATCACATCTGCGATGTCAAGCGGATCAAATATACTGTCAGAATCGCTGTCAGCTCCAGTAAAAAGAGAATCTGCACCAGTTGAGGATGTGTTCTCAGCACAATCACCAAGTTGTTTTTCGGTGAAAGACTTCCAATTGTTCATCTGCTCGTAGAATTCAAAGGTAGATAACCCACTCAGCTTCTCAATTACTGGTCCGAATAGAGCTTGGGCCCTTGCATACTTCTCAGCACCTGAAAGCACTACCATATTACCTTCCTCTTGGCGTTGAAGACGAACATACTCCACACAACGCTTTCCGACTCGCGCTTTGGAGGTGAAGCTGCTTTTTAAGGGTGCAGGATGGGCTTTGGGCGCCCTTAAGTTCATCGGTCGAGCCTTCACCATATTAATCACTTGGCGAACAGACTTCAAACCCTTTTCCAGTGTGTCGTAAAGTTCTTCAGTTGTTTTCATACTCCATCGTGCGGGCACTGCTAGCGCAGGTAGCGAGATGAATCCATGTCCTTTGCTGGCAACCGTCATGATATGCTGGCAAGGCAGTCGCCGACTCTTGTAAAAAAGGCAACTGCACGACCATAAAGTATCGTCTACTATGGTTTCTTGTCCAGCTAAATACACTTTCCATTCCGCTTGAGTAGGTCCTATTTGCGTACAGGTGGCCTCAGATTTGTTCACCATGAACAGGTCCCATTGAGACGAAACTTTCGCCAGCGTATCGTTCGAAAGATGGCCCGCAACGCGCTGCAAAAAAAGAGGAATGGTTTGAACAGGACGGGACTGTGTGGAAGTTCTTCGGATAGACGACAAGAAGTGATTCACAATGTTCACTTGAAGTATTTTCCGCGCGCATGGTTGGCCCACATATCACTACACCACTCCCAACTTTCCTGGAAATACTGAAAAATCTCTGGACAGGGATTGCTGCAAATATCCGGACACTCGCCCTTGCAAACCTTCGAATCCATCTCGTAATCTATTGTAAGCCGCTGTTGTAGTGCTGTACATCATCTGCTTAATAGAAAACTCGACTTCATCTTGCTGAATGCCCGTAAGATCATACTTTGCCCGCTTGACGACCTTCTTCCAGTTCGCCATAGTGTGAAATTGACACAAGAGTACGGTTGCATCGGGAAAGCACCTCTCCAACACTCTCCACTCCTTAAAGTCCTTGTCAATGACAAAAGTCTCTATTTGTGCCCAACCTTCGTTCTTCCTCTTGAAAAACCGAAGAATCGCCTCCATAATAGATTCTTTTTCATCACGAATAAAGTCGACCAAAACCGGCACACCCCGCCCCGTTGCACTGGTAACAAGAAGACTCCCTGTGTGAAATTAAACACAAAAATAATTAAAGGTGCAGCACCAGAGATAAGGGCGCTCAACTATAGAGATAAGGGCGCCCCAAAAATAAATGACAAAAAACTTACCAAGATGCAATCCCAAGTTGTTTGTACCATAAGTCCAATCCATACAAAGAATCTCTCCCCACTGTTCAAACGCTAGCTTCTGTACGGCAGTTTGTATCACAACGCCACTCGTCACGTCGTTCTGATCTTGAAGAACGAGAACCTCGCTGTCATCAGAACATGCCAAGGTATCCAGCATATCCGAAAGTTTTTTGTCAGCAGATGTACTTTGCAACACCTTTCTGACAATGTTGCGTGCTTGCTGGGATGTCACGTGGCGTTCCAAAGCACCGGAAAGAAACTCTTGAATGTGATGTGACCCCGTGTTGGCATCCGCAAGAACGCCAACTTGATCCGCTACCATGCTATTTTCAGCTACAGACCCTGCTCCAAAATAGCTGGAGTAAATTGATGCATTTGTTCGATGATTGTGTGTCCAGGTCTAATTATAATACTGTTAGTATTTCGTACTCTCAGCGACATTGTCAAATAATTACTTACCCAGTTCCGCAGAACGATTCGCCACTTTGGATCATGGTCTTCGTCTGCAGTATTCATCACAGTGGCCGTGACTCTAGCTCTACACCCAGTGTATCTAGTTGGCGTACTTCTCAAGCCTTTACCTCGAGACTTCTGAGGACAACCATGGGTACAACGAAACACCTTGTAGCTGTGCTGCATCTTGTTTGGTATCTGCAGCTTGACCAATCTATAATGTACAACATAAAAACAAGCATTATTGTTAGTCAGTCTGATATAATTTAAAAGTATTAAAATATATTATAAATATTACTTACGTATTGTGTTTTTTCACCGTCTGTGAGTCTCGGGCCCTGAATAGTAGGAAGTGTTCGCTGCAATATTTCTCCATAACATCACCGGACTCGGTCCATGTCGAAAACTCGAGCTGTCGCATCGGCGGAACTTTGTTTACAAAACTCACACGGGACGTTTCCATTGCCAAACGTTCGGGATACGACTTGGTGCGTCTGACCCTTGGCGTTCGGTCGACATTAGGATCTTGGGCGGCTATGTTTGTGTCTTTGCCCTGTTCATTATCTGCTGACGCCAAACAAATAGTCTCCGCGACACTGTCCTCGCCAGAGCCGTCACTTTCAGCGTGCCGTCGTCGTTCGGTAGGTGTTGTTAGTTGGTGCAGACGACTTTTCCTTTTGGAGGCCCGGCTTGTATCTGTCCGAAGTATCAAAAACAGTTAAACTATAGTCATATACGATAATTTTTCGCAATACAGCACGAGCCAATTTCGTCCAAAAGTTCCTGCAACGTATCACTCGAATCGCTATCAAGTGTGATGTCAACATCACGGTCGTCGTATTCAGACCCGGAAGAAGAAAAGCTCAGCTCGAAAAGGGCGTCTATGTCATCTAAACAACAGAAGCATTAACGTTGGGGATTTTTTTTGTAATGACCACAAATATAGCAAAGAAGCTGTGATACGTACCTTTAAGTTGCGATCTCCAGTCAACTGTCGCGTCCGTTAGTGATCGTCTAGCAGGAAAACAGGTAGAATTCTTCCCGTGAGTGACAGCTTTCGACGCGTGGCACTGATTTCTCGAATGAGCCCCAAAATGAAACGGCCAGGATTCATCGCACTTAACAGCATTCTTCGAACTTAGTTGAGATTGTAGTGTACACACTGGTTTTTCGGCGAATTTAGAATTTCACGTGTAAGTTTTACATTTCAGAAAATATCATGAATACTTTAAGGGCGCTCATATCCTCAAGCGCCCTTAACGGTACTATTTATGCAAAATCCTTAGGGTGCTTGAACTGCTTCGGTACAGTAGCGTCATTTTTTTAAATAACGAAAAAAAAACGGATCCAGGTCCCCGTCCGATTGAAAAAGAAATTGAAAAAAAACGGATCCAGGCCCCCGTCCGATTTCTTTTTCAATCGGACGGGGACCTAGATCCGTTTTTTTGAAAGCACAAAGAGCGGTACGTGTGTGCAGTGGTCGGTTGCAAGAGATAATCTCAAAGCACTTCACGTTTGACTTGGTTGCCTAATCCCATACTAACTTCAGTCAAAATGGCTTCTTTGAGCCTTAGAAACGACGGAAGCCTTCAGTGGTGCAAACGATTTGTCCCCCCCTCCATGTCACATTATTTAGAAGTGCTCGAACGTCGCCGAAGTTGACGGCGTGGGTGGCAATGCCACGCTCCTCTTTCTAGAACTTTGAAGCAGCACTTCCAAACGTAAGTAAAAACGGGTTGGAATCAAACCGATCTCTTTGTCGTGGACAGTCGTCGATTTCCTTCGCCAGCGTTCGTTGAAGACGCTGAGTTTGGATTGATACTGTTTGAGATACGAACGGACTCAGTTCCTGTTTTACGTGCTCGACGAAAAGTGGATGGAAGCGCTTCCGTCCGTTGATAGGTGAATACACTTCCGTACGTCCAACCAGCAACAACGCTATCGATCCTCCATGCCTACTCATAATGACAAAAAATGTCGGCGCTGTTCATGTCGGAACAAGGCTTGTCAGCGGCGAAAGGTGGAGCAGCGGCGTCAAGCCAAGAGCTTGATCCCTCACGCATCGTTCCTTCTGATACCCTGCTCCCGTGCTCACAGAAGGAGGCAGCACGAGATGGACGCGGGCGAGGAACTGCAGCCGGATGAGATCATCGTCGACAGCGAGGACCTTCAAGTCATGCGTGACTCGGTTGACAAGATGCATCAACAATTGAGTCGAGGTCTTCGTGATATCCAAGAGATCCGTGACTTGGTTAAACAGGCGGCGGCCCAGCGAGAGCGTGAACAGCGCGAAATGGATACGCACAAAATCATTACGGAGGCTAATAGCACCAGTCGATAGGCGTCATCCTCTGAAGCGTTGATTAATACATAATGGAAGTGTATATTCGCTCGAGGCCTAACTGTGTACAAGTAGTTTAAAATTGGGCGGTTATCTTTATAACATTCTTACACTCTTAAATGAGCCATGACAAAGCGCTCCCCTTATGATTTCGATGGCTCCGTGTCGCTGGCTGCCGGTCTGCAGCGAACGAGGAAGAAGAAGCGTCGAGAAAGTCCCAGTGTCGGTGAGAGGAAGGCCAACGAGGCGTGGCTGGCTTCGGCTCTGCACCCTATGCAACAGAACGATACACTTCAAGCAGCCGTTCAACTGAAAGCAGTCGATGTTCGATTACACCCATACATGCACATGGCAGAGAAGCGAGCAGTGCAAACTCAAGCTCACGTACCGGTATGTGGTTGCGGAAAGATTGCGTCTGTGTTGGTCGTAATTTACAATATTTGAGCACACCTGTAGATGAGCGTCCAAGTTTTGGAGCAAAAGAAGATGCTGCTCCCCTATCTGGACAAGATCGAATATATCAACTGCCAGCTACGGTAGGCAAGTAGAATGGGTCTAGTATATGACAATGAGAATGATGAGCTTAGTCTTCCTAACTGTGGACAGACAGCGTGGGCTTTTGCCAGCTGAAGAGAAAGCTCTGGTTAAGGACGAGCGATCAGAGGTGACGACAAGTAGTCAACTTGGTCGCAAGCCTCCTACACGGTCTCTTCCTGCTGCACTAGCCACGCGGAACCAGGATGAACAGGATACTGATAAAAACACCACTGCTAATACTGCTTCAGTCAAGGTTTCGACTAGGATGCTGCAGATGCGATATCCACGATTCTTCGAGATGGCGCAAGCCAACAAGCAACAAACCGTGCTGCCCAGACAACGCGGTATCAATTGGCTCCTTCGAATGATCGAGGTAGTCTATAATGCTCTGGCTGACATCTTACTTCTGAAAACCGGGAGCGACAGATCGGAGACGGAGCTTTCGTCCTCGGATATGTGGGTGAAACCAAATAGTGGCTCACAGAGTCGTCTGGCCACTCCAGGCTGGCTAGCCATGCCATTCTTCACTCGAAGGTTTATCCACCATTCGCTGGGTCTGCCTGAATTAGCCGACCAAGAGTGTTTGGATCTCATGTATAACATCGAGCTCACACGCGAACTGTACCCGCAAGTGTCTTTGTTTGCTTCATTTCTTAGAGAGATCTACGACGAGGACACACTGCTCTTCTTCTTGTTTGTACGGAGTCAATTACAAGACGAGTTTGATCTGGATCTAGCAGCTAAGGAGAAGCAAGCCCATTCCTCAAGAGCGAGTGGGTCCAAGAAGTACATCACAGCAAATATGATAGAACTACGCAATCACCCGTTAATTCCAGACGGAACCAAGCAGGTTTTCCTCTCTAGTGCAGCGTGCGAAGGCGTCCTGTTGCGCGTATTCGAGTCTGCAAGACGTCTCCGCTACGCCCAAGCATCGAAACTGGCAGCCCCCATTGCACTGGCTCGATACATTGTCCGTGAGCCGATAGTAAGTCGACTTCAAGCTGATACCTGCCACTTTACAGTATCTGCAGAAGTATTCTTAACGACATTGGTTAAGATGTTTGAAGAAGTTGCTGAAGACATTCTAGCACAGTTTAAATTCAACGACGACGGCGAGTCCCTGTCGAATTTGATCCGCCTTCGGGATACCATCACGTTGGACTCGAAAGTCGAGAAGTTTGTGGCTCTGTACGCTGAGCAGGAGAGAGCTCTACGCAACCAGAAGATCGAGTTGATGAAGATGGAACGCAGTAATACCGAACACCAGTTTCGAGTTCAGATTCGTCTACTGCAGAATCAGATTCGTCTACAGGAACAAGAACTTCAACATGTTCAGAAAAAGATCGCGGATGGGGAAAACCAGGTAAATAACGTTTGGAACGACGTGATTGCCGCTAAAGCTTCGTCAAATAAGGCAACTGTGCAACGTACTAGTGGCGATTCTTTGTCTTCGAAAGCGCTTATCTCCGTTCTTGGTCGATTTGAAGCGCAAATTGGAAGACTGGAGAAGAAACACGACATTGCAGTGAAGGCGTCGATGTTGTTGGCTGTCCCCTGGCAACAGCAGATGGACGAATTGCGTCTACGTATGGTGATCCGAATCCAACGCGCCTATCGAGCTCGAAAGCGTCCGCAAGAAACGAAGCGAAGAGCTCGTGATAAACTGTCGGCGCAGATCCGAGAACGAGAGATCAAGATGAAAAACCAGGAGCTGGAACGCAAACGACTTGACGCTCTGCGTGAGAAAGGTATGGAGCGTCATCAGCAGCGTTTGAAGGCGAGGAAAGAACAAGAAGACAAGCAGAAACGAGACCTCGAAGAAAAGCAAAAGAAGGTGGTTAAAAGGGCTCGAGAAGAAGAGGCCACACAACGCGCTGTCGCAATGAAGAAGAAAGAGTTAGTTCATGTCATGACTCGGTGGAATTTGTTTGTGATACGGAAGAAGAACCGACGAAAGGCCCACCTTTTGTTCTTGAAATTCAAGCTCATGAAGTGGAAATTACACCTGACTCAACACAAGCAAATGACACGAGCAGCAAGGACGATTCAGCGTTTCATTCACAGACGACAAGAGCAAAAACAGCTTCGAAAACTGATAAATGTGCGCGTGAAGCGAACAAAAATGGCCAAAAGGTATCTACTGAAGGTCCAGTCACGAATGACGAACCGATTGTTCAACCACTGGGCAGCTTTCACTATTGAACAGCAGAAACTTCGAGAAAACTTTGCAGCAATAATCCAGCGTCGAGAAGGTCACTGGTTCCAGCAGTGGGCTGGTTTTGTTGACATGATGAAGACTCGGAAGCTTGAGGCAGCAATTTTGATTCAACGACAGTATAGAGGGCGAGTGGCACGTCAAGTGTTCAAGTATCAAAGGGATCGACACCGTAAAGCAGTCGCCATCAAGCGAGTGTATCGAGGGTATCGAGGTCGAGTCATAGCGAGAAAGAGACGGCAGATTAAAGCCACACAGGACAAAGGAGTGGAGGTTATCTTACGTCGTGTTCGATACCGAGAGGCGGGTTTGTGCTTCGACATGATCGTCCGCTACACGTACTGGGAACGTCGCATCAAGGAGATGACTCAAGCTCGAAATATTGCTTTGGAAAGAGCGGTTCATCTGGCTTGGAGTGAGTTTGTTACATTGAAAAAGGAGAAGAGAGCCGAAAGCCTACGCCTCCGTAACCACAGTGCCTCGATTATTCAGCGTAATTTTCGTCGACATCTTTGTCAAGTGGTCTTCAAAGAGACGTTAAGGAACCACCGAGCAGCAGTCACAATTCAGCGCGTGTTCCGAGGCTTTCTAGGGCGAAATGCAGCGCAACGTCGACGTTGGGAAATGTACGCAGCGACTCAAATCCAAACAGTATGGAGGAGACACAAGGCGACGAAATACGTTGCCGCTCTGCGGACGGAGAAGATCCTTTTAGCGACATACAAAGGCGACTACACGACAGTGAAACGCGCTATTGCCAATGGCTTCTGGTACATCACAGACAACGAAGGCAACAGTATTCTTCACGTTGCCGCTGTGGCAGGACACAAACGCTTAGTGAAGCTCTGTTTACGCAACTCGTTCGACATCAATGGCGTGAATACTCACAGCCAGACTGCACTGCATCTGCTGCTTGCCAACCTTTCTCTGTCTAGTGCTGTGTATGATGCTAGTGATGTTAAAGGACGAGACGAACGAGTGGCGCTTGCAGAGTATATGATTGAGCACGGAGCGTGGCATGAAGCACCGGATGAAGAAGGGTTTACACCCCTCTTACTATGTGCTTCTCTAGGTCAAAGTGAGGCTGTGGACATGCTATTAAACCATGGAGCTAACACGGAAGCCAGAACATCAGGAAGCAACCTGAATGCGCCTCATTTAGCAGTTGAAGGCAATTTTTCCACTACACTTAAGGTCCTCTTGGAGTCTGGCAACTTTGATACTGGCGATACTGGCAACACGACCGAGTTTTTGCTCCATGCTTGCGCTGGACGAGGCTTGATTGACTGCGTTCGAGTCCTGGTTGATCATATACGACAGCGCCGTGAAGTGTTTGGTTATGATGCGCTGAATCTTTGCGACTCGGAGGGTTACACGCCGTTGATTTACGCGGTTAGCAACGGATATCTCGATGCTACGGAGTGTTTACTGGAGGCGGATGCTGGTCCTGATGTCAAAGATTACTTCGGACGCTCACCGCTTTATTTCGCACTCATTACCGACGATTCCGCTGCGCGAGAAGCTCTTGTAAACCTCCTTATCCAGTACGACGCGGAAGTTAATGTGAAAGACACAGACGGCGATGCGCCACTGCATGTGAGCTGCGTGGACGACGTTCGACTGGCGTGTACTCATCTCTTGCTCACAAATGGCGCGTTGATATGCGCCAATGCGCTGGGGAACCATCCAACGCACATTGCAGCTCGCAACGGAGCAGTCGATACGCTTAAGTTGCTGATTGATTACGGTGGAGATATGAACTTGAAGAATTACGACGGCAAGACGCCGTTGGGTATGGCTCGTATGAACGATCAGGTCGCAGTCGTAGACTTCGTGGCTGCATACTTCGCGCAGGAATCGGCACTCAAGAAGAGTGTTGACACCCCCGAACTTCCAGTTGAAGACGATGACAATAATCAGGAAAATCACGAAAGATCTGATAATCGGAGTGATGGTCTTCAAGATGACAAATTTGACAATGTTGAAGATGAAAATCTCCACAAGAGTCGGACACTTTCCGAGTGGGTTGCCGCCGTCTCGGAGGCGTATTGTATGGGTTCTCTTGCGGAGTGGACGCAGTACATCGACGCAGAGACGGAGGTGCCGTTTTACTATAGTATGGGGCCGTCTGGTGAGCACGTGTACACTTGGGATACCCCCGTAGAGTTTGATGCTGCTTTGGGCGAAATCTGGGAGATCGTTCGTGGTCCCTCGACTGTAGCGGCTCTGGATGAAGAGCAGGATCCGTCTTCGACGGACAGTCGGTATTATCTGTACCACAACCGAATGACGGACGAGCTCACGTCCACTATTCCGCCCATTAACTACGCGCTCCTGCAAGATGTAGTACAGAATTCCAAACGCATGAGGCTGCTACGTGCTCGTGTGCGAAAAGTATCAACAGATGAACTCAGCGCGTCTGCGATGGAATACATGCGTTTCTTCCGCGGGTTTGAAGAGGATAGCGCTCAAATGCGCAAGGAAATGCGTGCTGCGATCATGATCCAGCGCCACTTCCGTGCTCGACGAACGCACTTGCTTATCAAGGCTTTACTCCATCAGAATCGCTGTGCTGTAGACCTCCAACGTGCGTTCAGAGGAAGGAAAGCTCGTCGAGAGGCCAAACTGAAGCGCAAACAGCAACTCGAGGTCGTGAAGATTCAAGCCCTGTACCGTGGCCATCTTACCCGCAAACGGGAAGAGCGAGGCCTTCGCTCTCAGCGTCAACTGCATCTCAAGCGCAGACTCGCTGCACGGGAGATTCAACGTATTTTTCGCGGCTGTAAGGGCCGTAAAGCGGGGTACCGTGAGAAGGTGATCCAAAACCTGGGTCCTAAGAGCTATTTTGAATGGGAAGCTCTAAGAAAACGAGCACAAGTGACTCGATCGTATAAAGTTTGGGACGAGATGGAGGTACGAACAGATTTCCCAGGTGTTCTCTTCTATTGCCACCGAGTTACACGTGCGTGTGGCTGGGAACAACCTCCGCCTTGGGTCCAACACGACCGTGAAGCCTTTGAAAACCGGTTGCAACTGGTACGCTGGGGATACACAGAAACGATGCAACACGCCGCTCAAACACTTCAGAGACTGTGGCGAGCTCGCACTGCACGCATCTCCTTCCAGCTGGTCCTTCGAGCTGTGAGATTAATGAGAACTTGTGAACAAGAGTACCTCGAAGATCCGATACATTTGGCCAAAATGGGCAATTATGTGCTGTATCTGCACACGATCACACACGACTATGAGCGTGCACGACCCCTTTATGGGAGACTTTTACGGGTCATGGCACAACGAGGACCAGATATCCCATTCATCCTATTCTCGTATGGTATTTTCTTGTATATCACGCAGGAAGAAGACACGACGGTAGTCGAGGAAATGATACTACGTGGTAATATAGCGGACCCGACGCTGGTGAAGTACAAAGTGGCGTTTTTAGGCTTCTTCCGACAGGCGATTCTCCAGAATCCGGACGATGCTGAAGCTCATATAAACTACGCGGCTTGTGTCCAATGGCTCTACGAGCAATACGATGAAGCCACGACTCATTACCTTAAAGCACTGGCCTTGGCACCGCAGCGTAAAGGGACTCTTGAGCTGTTCCAGAACATGTTGGATAACAAGAGACGTATTGAACGCTCTAAGCTCACTCCGCGTAGTAAGAAGGCGTTAAAGAAGAAAGAAGACGCTGGAGAGGAAGAACAGTTCGACGCATTTGCACAATTCCGACGGTGGCAGGCAAAACAGGCTGAGCAGGAGGACCTATCACGGAGAATGGTCCTTCAAGCTGAGCAGGATTTGGCTGCTCGACAGGCGGCAGCTCGCAAAATCCAAGCACGATATCGTCGTCGGAATGCTATGAGGAAAGTAACTCGCCTCCGCCTCGAATACAAATTGGCTGCGATAAAAGCCGAAGAGACTCAACAGCAAGCACTGTACGATAGAATTACCGAGGCGTTCGAAGACATTCTTTCTAGCTCCACGAAGAAGAAAAGGCAGGGAGATCCTGGCCCTGTCTTAAATCTTCCGGTCGGTCAGCTTGACGCGGTCTTCATTTCACTGAAGATGGAGTTCACTGAAGCTCAGCTGAACGCTGTAAGTGCAAAGTTCCGGAAGGACCATCCTAAAGTTAAGCATGTCAACGTCATGGACATGTGTCGGTTTATACAGGCACAACCGCTGCTACAAGAAAGACTGCCGACCATATTCCCATCGACAGTTTCCAATACGTCGTAGTTCGAAATGAATATAGTAGTTTTTTGCGCTCGTAATGAGAAGCAGGGGCAACGTAGCTAAGCAACGTCATGATCGCAACGTCCCAGGAGCTGGTCTTCCATGGCCATCTAGAATTCCTCTCAGCGAAGAAGTTTAATACAGCGCCATGCGGGCGATCGCAATCCGCAGTTGAAGTTGTCGACAACATCAATTCTGATTGGGTAGCGTTCTGATAGCAAAGCCGCTCTTGTAACGTTTTCAGCCACAGTAGCATAATTTGCGACGTGTCCTCTATTGACGCGATGGGATTCCTCGTCTACAATGCAGAGCGCCCTCATCACACCAAAATCTCTCTTTCGCATTTGCCGTAGCCTACAACCTTTAGCAACACGTATCTGCACGCGAAAGGGGAAAGCGAAGTGATGGCGGCTGTGGCCGCAGTTTCATGAACTTTGAGATTCACAGTTTGAATGTGCGCTACCCGTTGCCATGCGGTGCCGCACTGTCCATCTGCCTCGGTTTGCCAGCAAGGTTGCCCAAATTTGAGCTGCTGTATGCAAAGTACTTCATCCTGGGTAAATAGCGCCCTGCTGCCCGCGCCGTCAGCTGGCAGCTAAACGGACACCCATTGTTCTTTTGATATATCGAAGGATATATGCTTTTCTTAGAGTGCAGGCAATGAGAACAACAACTTGTTGGTATGTATGATTTGAAAGATGTTATCATTTTTTTGAAAACATGATTCAATTGCTCTTTCTGCCTCGGAACAAGCCGTGAATTAAGTCAATGTTTTACAGGAAAGAGAGAGAGAGAGAGAGAGAGAGAGAGACAGCAACTCAGGTCACGATATCTTAGCTCCTGAAACGCCGTTTCAAACGGCGGAGCTGCTTGTAAAAGTTTGCCTGCTCCGGTGTTGAACAGGTGGCAGAGGGCGGGTGCTTGTCTCTTGCTTTAATTTCGCCTATTAATAGACCGCACGTGTACCTGAATGGCATCCCTTTAGTATTTATTGAGGATAGAGAGAAAATATTTGACTACTGCAATGCTGGCCATGATGAAGCCTCCGCCCGCTATGCTAACACCGAGCCGGTGACAGCGACCGGAGCTGCCAGCGCGGCAGCGCTGGTGCATACCCAATGGGCATTGATCGACTGCGCGTTTATGCAACTGGTCTGACTTCTATTGCTCATTTTTACCTGGATAGTCAGACCGCAACAAATACAAGTCCGCACTAAATCTGAGCGTAATCCAGTCGTAAATCGCGGTGTAATTCGTCCTGCGAAAATCTGCGATGATGGACCGAAGCAGCGTCGGAAGAACCTCGTCATGAGCCCGCACCGCTCTCTGTCACGAGAACTTGCCTTGCACCGGTTCGAATCGAGCTGCAATCGAACCTATTAGCTGCAGAGAACTTGCAACAATAGGGCAAGCATTCATGATTCATGATGCCGTTGAAAGCTTCAAGCGCTCGACTATCATTGGATTCAGCTCGATGGTACAGCTCTACGACCACCACACGCTGGACTCAGGGTAGCGCACTGAACCGGATCCAGCTGAGCCCGGCGTTATTGCCATTGCCCTGTACTTTTGCAGCAACGTTTTGCGTGGGGGTTGTCGATCATGGCCGCCGCAATAAAGCTTCCATCCCCCCGCAAGCGTGTGCTAACAGCAGCAGACTCAACCGCACCCCGAAGCGCTTTTCAAGCCGGGGGCCCCCATTATTGGCCGCACAGAAAACGTTCACTAAAATCTTGGTTTTTCACAGCGCCAGGCCAGGGCAGGGCTCTGCATTCCTTCCCCATTTGCGCTTTCGCCTGCTCAGGTCGTCGGCCACTAAGTTGCCGCAAGATAAAATAGCACGCGGGAGCACGAAAGAAGGAAACACTTCACTGACCAAGTATACGACGTTTTCTAACGACTCTGTAATAGCCACATACAAACTCTTTATATCGAGACGGAAATGGCGCTGCTTAAGAACAAGTACATGCCTCTGAGCGAGGCCGACGTGTCGCCCGAGCGTGTGGCGGCCTACGACGGCCAGCACATCACACTGTCGTCGTCTCCGAGCGCCGCGGCCTTCGTTATGGGCAACTACCTGGGCGGAGGCATCGCCGGCGTCGTGTACGAAGCCTTCGACCAGCGTATGAAGCGACCGGTCGCCGTCAAGATCCTCAACCCTGTGGGCTACAAACTCACGAGCCCTGGCGCTCTACGACGCGCCGAGATCGTCAAGAAAGGAGTGCCTATCGTAGGCAACGTGCGCGGTATGACGCTGGACAACGTATACTGGGTACATCTCCCCAGACGGCGGGAGTTGCTGGCTTGTTACGTGACTGGAGGCGGCTCGGCTCCCCCTGTACTGCGAGAACTCACTCTGGAGATGTGTGTGAGTCTGTGGCTCTTGGATCACCACGACGAGGAGCTACGCGACCAGCCGCAGACTCAGCGTAGGAGACGACCTAGAAGTGCAGACCGGATGACGGCCAGTTTGTCCTGCGAAGACCCAGTACAGGAGCCTTCGCGCAGGAATCTAGCGGCGGCATCGGCGGCCTCTGCGGCTTCTGCTGCAGTCATGCAGCTGGAACAGGTGGAAGAAGAAGAGGAGGCCAGAGAGGACGGAGAGGAGGTCGTTGTCGTAAACGACGTGGCTTACGTCATCCCAAATCTCCCGGCCAAGTACCGGGCGTTCCTACAGGCCAGGAAGACCATCTACCGCGAGATCGCACACATGCACAAACTCACAGGCAACAGCGTCAGTGGCGAGCGGATCGGTAGTGGCCACGAAAATGTTCTACAACTGTACGACGTTCTGGAACTCGTGCAACCGTCCAAGTCGACGATCTTTTTAGTGCTGGAACTCGCATACGGCGGGGAACTATTCGACCGTATTCGTGGGGACTCTGGCGTAGAGGAAGATGTGGCCAGAACGTACTTTACGCAGCTACTGGCGGGTGTGCGCTACTGCCACCAATTGGGGATTGTGCATCGCGACCTGAAACCTGAGAATCTGCTCTTAAGCGACTCCGATGTGCTCAAAATTGCGGATTTCGGGCTCTCGGCACACTTTATCGCCGCTGTAAGCAGTGGAGCCAGTGCCGATGAGCACGATAATAACGGAGAGAGCGGCATCACGAACCTCATGGCGCCGTCACGCTTCCGACGACTGAACTCGATCGTCGGATCTCCACACTATGTGGCGCCTGAGGTTCTACAGAACGCCAGATATGGCTACGACGGTCGCAAAGCGGACATGTGGAGCAGTGGCGTCATCTTGTATGGTCTTCTGGTGGGCACACTTCCTTTCGGACGAGAACTAGCGACATGTCCGCGGTATCTCAAGTTTGGAGAGTGGCTGCGATCTCTGCCCTGTGACCCACACACTGGCAAGCTCTTGTTCGATGCAAATTTGTTCGAGACGGGCAGCTCCAGTGCATCAGTGCAACAGCCAGAGATGCCGAGTTTCCACGCGACGCCTCCGATGCTGGGACTAATGCTTAACAGCTCCACTATGCTCTGGAGTCAGAACCAAGCTGCCGGATCGTGCTCTCCATCTGCGAGTGGTAACAGTCCGTTCGCGTCTGACGCTAATTTGCTCAAATCCGGAGCTGCCGGAGCAGGTGGCGTCCAATCGCGTCGCTCCGTGGCGTTTCCGACGTGGTTCTTCCCGGCAATATTATCACCACATGCTGTATTCCTGCTGGCGTCTCTGCTACATCCCGACCCCAGCAAGCGGATCTCGTGTGAGGAAGCCTGCAAGTCGAGCTGGGTGCTCGACGCGTAGACAAAACTGCACCTGACATTTGTATTCACCCAACGACACACAGCAAAACACCAACAAGAAGTACCCTAGATGCGTATCCACTCAAGCAATCGTAACAAATAATATGTATTTGAATATTCTCATTAAGCTACTGTGATTTACTAAATCTTAGAGATACTGTAAAGACGTAGAGAAAGCTTTTTAATTTATGCTCTTAAATTGATTTGTCAGGCTGGATCCTTCAACAATTTAAGAGCAAAAAGTGTTTCTTTTTTAGCCCAATCAGATTCGCCTACTCGGCAATCGGACGAAAAGCTACGTTGCGATGGCTTCGCCGCGCCCCGACGTGCGCCAAGCGCTGCGGGCGTCTTTGGGCTGGGAATTTTCCTTCGCGTCCTCTGACCCAACGAGTGCTCGCTGCTTAGTGTCTCACCCGAAAGACGTTGGGAGATTGGCCGAGTGGCTCGTGCGCGAGCTGCCCCCGCTGCAGCGGTCCTCGGAGTCGAAACCCAGCCCCAAATTAAGCGAAGATGCCCTACAACCAGAGCAGATCAGTCAAACCAGAGACTTGGAGACGCTATTGGCGAGGGAATTAGGCTTCGGGCAGTCTAAGCAGCTTGTGGGCGCGTCGACACGCGATTCTTCCCAAGAACCGCAACGGAGTGACGTCTGTGAACTGCAGAAGGTGAGTTTTGATTCACACAGCTATAATTCTTAGTAAATAACACTGTAGAAGGTGGGCACTTATATTGCTGTGCTGTAAATGACGTAGATGTCGCCGAGAGAGGTGCTCAAGAGCTTGTACGCCGACATTCCGCTTTACAAACCCGAAGACGGCGCCAAGATCACGCGCGGGCTTTTCGAGAACCAAGCGACGCCTCAGAACGCCCACTTACCCATGCTCAGAGGCGTGTACACCGAACATGGGTCCACAACTTCAGTGTCCAACAGCACATTCGCCGTGTTCGAGTACGACTCCCAGTCTCTGCAAGATGTGCTCAAGTACCATCGCTCTGTGCTGGAAGGTCAGCGAGAAATGGACATGGACGCTCAGCAACCGAGCGACGAGGAGCAAGACGCGCTGGGGGACCTCAAGAAGCGCCTCGTACTCTTCCAATTGTGTCGCGTGCTGGAGTTCCTGCATGGGCGTGGCTTGGCCTGCGACGGCTTCTCGCCACGTGATTTATACCTCACCGACACCCTGTGGCTACATCTAGCTGCCTTACCTCGTGTACTTGACGCTTGTGCCAACGCATCAGCACCGGATATCCACTCAATTCCTTGTAATATCGAGTCCTACTCTTCGAGATCCATTACGGAGCGCTGGTGTACCGGAGACATCAGTAACTTTGAGTATCTCATGGTGCTCAACACTGCAGCTGGACGACGCATGGAGGACGGTGTGTTCCATCCGTTTGTGCCCTGGGTCACAGACTTTAAAGGTGGCTGGAGAGATCTGAGCAAGAGCAAGTTTCGACTCAACAAAGGGGACGCACAACTCGATCGGACGTTCGCCAGTAGCGCGGTACCTCACCATATCACAGAGAGTTTATCGGAGATCACGTACTACATCTACTCAGCTAGACGAACACCGATGACGCTGCTACGTCGCGTGGTGCGTGGAGACTTTCAAGCTCGAGAGTATCCAGCTACTATGACGCGTATGTACGAGTGGACACCGGATGAGTGCATCCCCGAGTTTTATACAGACCCAGCAGTGTTCAAATCGCTGCATACAGACGACATGGAAGACCTGCAGTTCCCCCAATGGGGAGAGAGGGACGATTTAGATGCTGCAGTGGCTTTTGTACGCTGTCATCGGGACATGCTGGAGAGTGACGAGGTGTCGACGCAGCTTCACAAGTGGATTGACTTGAATTTTGGCGCTGCGTTGAGTGGAGAAGCTGCTATCCGCGAGAAGAACGTCCCTCTTGTGGTCCACGCAGCGGGGAAGAGTCCTGGCTTCGTCCAGCTCTTCGACGTGCAGCATCCGAGACGAGTGTATCGTGTGAAGCAGCAGGAAGAGCAGAGCGAATTGACTGAACCAGATACGCCACGCTCGGTGCGACCTCAAGGCACTACGAAGGAGGTGAATGCCATGCTGTCCAGGGCGATGCAAGTGGTGACAGACGCACAGAAAGACGGACTCTCCTTATCGCCTTTGACGTTGAATGGAGGAGGAATGAACGTACTAGGACCTAGAGCAGGCGCGCAAGAAGTCGAAGTGTCGCGTTTCGGCCTTCTACATAGTCAGAGTGGAGGAGATGCAGCCACCGGCTTCACGGGAACAAGTGGAGCGATTGCTGCGAGTACAACGGCACCGTCTTCGGGTGAAGGTACGCGTAGCCAAGTTATCATGCGCAACTTAAAGCAACGTCGACGTGGTAACAAGCCGCGTGCTCGGTCCCAAGCAAATGTGGCGGGAGCTGATCCTCTGGTGTCTCCGCCGGCGTTTCGGTCCGGTGGTGGACGTGAAGCTGCGTCACCCCCAGCGCCACCAGGGACGGGAACTTCCAGCTTGGGAGCGTCAAGACTGGGGAATCTCTTCCATTCCGACTCATCGAACCAGAACAACAGCAACAACAACAGTCTAGTCGCAGCTAACGGCTTAGAAACGTCGGCTAGTCCTCCGAACTCGATGGACCCGTACAACAGTCGAAGCTTTACAGGAAGCAGCGGACCTAACGACCATCTGCGTGTTCTCACGATTACGACGCCGCAAGGTGTGAGTGGGAACGTCAATGGCCTTGGCGGGTCAGCGGGGGAACGCAGAGAAGGAGGCTCCACTGCGCATCACACTCGACACGCATCTCTGGGCAGTGGGAGTCCGAATACGGGCTCGCATTTGCTACGTGATCTATGGCAGCAGCTACGTCAACCGGAGGAGGACGCGACAGGGAACCACGTTGGCGGACATGGACATCGACGCAGTGCGAGTGCTGGTCACGACTTTATGTTGGCTCTGGGGGGCTCCGGAGATATGCAGATCTCGGATCTAGACGCGGTTACGGATCCTGCGCCGGGTGTTGATGTCTGTGGGTCACTGGATGATGTGGATTTGAAGCTGCTGCAGCTTGGCTTAAGGATTATCCTCCCCGGTGCTGATAAGGAGGAGAAAGTGGAGTCTGAAGCTCAGGAGACGTCAAGACTGGGGGAGGAATCGTTTGCTGATGAGGTAATGGACCCGATCTACCGCATTCCTGATGAGCTCTTGGCGTCCACTGGACATTTGACTCCGTTCGAACGAGCACAGGCTGCTGACATCTTCTCGGTGGGTTGTATCGCGGCTGAACTGTACACGCACACGCCCGTGTTTTCAAGACGTTCGTTGGGGAAATACATGACGGCGTACAAGAGACAGCAGGACGAGATGAAAACCCAAAAGGCTACTGAAGATGACGGCTGGATAGCGAGTATTTTAGCAGCACAGTGCCGTCCTCCGTGTGGTCAACTGCCCTGGAACCACGCGGTGGCTGAACGTCTAGCAGATCTACCGCTCAACTTGAAGAAAGCAGTGTTGGATATGCTGCATCCAGACCCACGTGAGCGTCTGCGTCTGGTCTGTCATATCGAAGGTCTGGAGCCTCTTACAGTGCTGCGCAGTGCCGTTTTAACGCCTCGAGATTGCGTGCTTTCGACCGAACCAACGGACTCGTTCCACGCTGCGCCGTCTGCGTTATTCCCCAAGGATTTATTAGTCGTGTACAAGTTCTTAACGAAGCTTCACGGCAGTCCGGAGCAGGATTGGCACGCGAGATTCACGCCGGCCAGACAGCTGCTGTCGTCACTGTCCGGTCTGTCCGAGATGCTGTTCAGAGTGGCGATGCCCGAGCTCGTACGCTTCTTCCGAGCCAGCTCCCACACTGAGACGATTCGAGCCGAACGCGTGACGGCTGCGGTGGTTTTCCTGCTCCCAGAGATGGCGCGGCAGCTTGGTCGTGAGCGCGCGCGTGCTGAGTTGCTCCCTGACGTCGTGCGAGTGTACGAATGCAGCGACCTCGGACGATCTCCGCTCCTTCGTTGCTGTCTTGGAGCGCCCAGTGTGTTGCTGTCTATGATTCGAGCGTTTGGCGCTGCAGCAGTACTTGACAGTATTGTACCGGTAATACTGGAGTGGCTAGTGCCTCCTGTTGCTGCGGACTCAGATCTGGAGCTGCGATCGTCGTTGACGCCACTGTCCGTTCGCTCTCCGCCGTTGCCGCCGTTTGCGTTGGAGTCGGCGGCGCTCGTTGCTGTGACTTTCGGTGAACTGGCGTCTCCAGCGATGCTGGGTCCGTCGTTGACAGCGAAATATCTCCTGCCCGCGTTGTTGAACCAGCTTGGACGTGTCAAAAGCCGATGGTCGCATCTCGCGGAGTCCAAGACCTTGCGACGTACAGACAAGAAAACCAACTTGGCGCCTGTTGTCCTTGAAGGAGACGTGGGCGCGTCGGAGTTCCACTTGACGTTCCTGTCCAAGACCAAGTTGTACGAATCCCATCACGTGGCAGACGCTGTGCTTCAAGTATGTCGAGAACTGGGTGAGTATCCAGTCGCCACAATGCTGTTGCCACGGCTGTTTGAAGTGCTGCCAAAGCTTGTAACTCTGTCCGAGAAGATCGGCGCTGTACGCATCGAAGGCGTCCCGGTACGTGGCGACGAAGTGGCTGTACTTACGGTGTTGTCTCTAACTCTTATCGATCTTTAACAGGAGGAACTCGGACGTGAGATCTACGTGCTGTTACGTATTCTACGCCACGTGGTCCGTACGCTAAACGACTCGGCGTCTCTGCAAGATTTATTGTCTCGACGTGCGCGTAGTAGCCTCATGGACTTGCTGGCTCAAGCTTCTCCTCCGTTTCTGCATCCTCGCGTCGCTACAGCGGTAATCGCAGCTGCTACTCAGGCGACAGATTCCGCTCCTGCGACGGCTAGCGGAGCTACGAGCTCGACGAAGAAGAAAGTTCTGCGCAGTCTGAACTTTATGAAGGACGCAGATCATCGCAATCTGCGCGCGTTTACAGTCGTGGGACTGTCACGCACGATCGTGGCGGTGTGTCAGAAGCTCGGTGCCGAAGCTACCGTGACCGACTCTACCGTGGTGAACGGTATCAACCGGTTTCTCAAACGGTGCAGCGACGTCTACGCAGAGCTGGAGGTGTCAAATTTCCAGTGGGATCTCGCCAGCGAGTTGGTCAGCGAGTTGTGTGTCCCGCTGCGTACGCTTCTGGGTAAAGAGCTGTTCAACCGGAACTTTCCTATTGTCGCGAATAGCTCAGTACTCCAGCTGTTGCTACTACCACTTAGCAGCACTGCTGGCATGGATACCAGTGCGTTTAAAGGCTTCAGCAGTCGCGTGGCTAGCAGCGATCAAAGAAACTTAAGTGCGTTGGACGATCGACTAGCGCAGTCTCAAGTTCACGTCCGTCGTCGAAGTCCATTGACAGAAGAAGCAGACGACGAAGAAGACGAGAGTGACAGTAACTCGGTTACGTTAGAGCATGAAGACCCGCTGACGTATCCGCCAGAGTTGTTACGCTTCGCTTATCACGCTGTTCGCCTGCATTCCGTACGTGCCACCAGCTTCCTGCGCGTACCTTCGACGCTTCTTGTTGGGTCGGGAAAGAAGGCGGCACAGTGGGAAACTGCGCTTAGTAAGGAGTTATTGTTGCTGCAGGAAGCTCGTCGACAACGTAAGGTTATCAGTGCAGCGTTGGCTCCAGAACGTGCCGGCGCTGACGCGATTTGGCTGCGCTCTCGCGTCCGGCAGCCGTTCGAATCTCGACGGGAAGAAGGATATCTAGGATACGAAGGCGGCGGCGGAATACTGGGCAGTTCATGGGCTCTTAGCGCCGAGATCCGACAATCTATCAAAGCTCACTCGAACTCGGTGCGGTGCGTAAGTGTGGACGCTGACGAAGAGCTGCTCTTGACTGGAAGTCGACATGGATCGTGTCGTGTGTGGAGACTATCGGGTCATCCCGTCCAAGCTCGAGCAGCTGCACCGACAGGATTTACAGACAACCGCCCGATCTTTGCAGTCGCTCGTACTGGTCGTGCTGGGTCTAAAGGACGGAGCGGAGCAGGCGAGACAGACGGCATGGCAGCTGCAGCCTCGGCTTCGGGCGTCATGCTCTGGGATCTACGAACCAGTCAGATGCGGATGCGCTTACCGTTTTCAGTGAGTACTGAGCCTGCTGTGTCGATGACTACAGCTACCGATACAGTGGACGTGGCAGTGGCGACGCCAAGGCGTGTGGTGTGTGTGGATGCACGTACCGGTCCGCGCGTCGTGGCCGAGTGGCATGCAGACGCTGCTGGCGTTGGGTCCAGCTCGGTATCTCAAGGTTTGAGCTTGACTACTGTGGCTTCGTTCGTGGATGGGACGGCGTATCTTGCGTTAGGGACGGCAAATGGTCGAGTGGTGTTACTGGACTCAAGAACAGGTCGACAAGCTGCGCGATGGCAGGCGTTGGAGGCGGGAGCGCGTGTGGTCCACTTGGTGCAGATCTCGACGTCTCAATTGCTGGTGGTTGGAGCAGATAAAGAAGCGCGGGTGTGGCGTGTGATGCTGCGAAATCACGGACATCCACAGCTCCGTATGACGATTACAGGCGTGCCCGATGGCGTCTGTGCCTCCCAGATCTCGGTCCATTCAGCTGTGGATACGACAGTGCTGTATGTGGCGAGTAGCTCTCGTGTATACTGTATACAGTTGCCGTCGGAGCCTCGAGCGGTAGTGTTTATCCAAGCACCCGTTACAGTGCGAATGGAGTCGTGGCAGCTTACAGAACCGGGAGGTGCCAGTAAGAGCAGCAAGAGCCGCATTGTGACTCACAGTGTGGCGGTGCTGCCATTGCGTCAACTGCTACTGCTTGGCACGGAGGATGGCTGCTTGAAGTGCGTAGTCTAGATCAGATAAAGAGTGTACGTAAAGGGTAACATGAAAAATAACAGTGTGAGTTAGCGACTGCAAATAGGGACATAAATACTTAAAAGATCAGTTTAGAGTAGAGAAAAAATCAAAATAGGAGTTTGCATTCGCTCTAACCCGCTCTGATACTGTCAGAGCGGCCTGTAAAGTGTAAAAATACAGCGCTGGATCCATTTTCGTCTTGGTGGTCGAATAGGTGGACGCCCGAAGCAGGCCGAGGCTTACTTGTTGAGACCCTTGGCCTCGTTGATCACGTTGGTGTGGATCGTGGCGATTTTGCGGCGGTGCGACTGCCAGTCAGCGCCGACGTCCTCCTTGTAGCGGAAGATGTCCTGACGGTTCTGCTTGTTCCAGTTCACGTCCGGGTGGCCGGCCAGGTATCGCACGCACTGAGCCGTGCACAAGCCGGCGGCAGCCACGCAGGTAACCAGCACGGGCCACGTGCCCTTGTCACCGAGCCATCTCTTGGTAGCGCTCTGAGCAGCACGGCCAGACATTGTCTTGAATGAGGGGGGGGGTCTAAAGGGTAAGAGACTTGGAGAAGCTTGGACGCAAATTGCGGAATGACTTGGGGCCTCCAAGGCAACAACAGAGCGGACACTGGCTACTGCTGACGTCAGCGGAAGTTAGTATACTATAACCTGTAAAACATTATCTTCAGAAATTTTAAAACTAAGATAATAATTACTCAGTATCGTATGTAACTGTGATAACTAGTTCTCACATATGAGTGGCTGGAGGCGTCTACCAGTCCCTGAAACGCAAGTCGAGCGCAATGTGAGGCTCAGAACGTGACGCCTTTATTGCCACTGCTAAATCGGTATTAATAGTGTCGTGTTAAAATAGCGAATCTGAGCCGCGACGGTGACAGCTTGGGGATCATAGTGACCATCACTTGAAGCGCGTGCTTAGCTTGGAGCATTACGGGCGTGGGACGTGGACCAAGTCGCCAAAGTGTCGTAACGGACATTGTCTTGGTTTCATTATGGCTTAACGGTGCGGGAACATGGGGCAAAGATACGAGCACTGAAGAAAAACTATTGGTATCCAAGAGCTTACAAATTTCAAGTGAACGGCTTGGATACGGACGTCTATGCGTATCTATGCTGTTTAACAGACACGAGGACGCGAAAAATGAATAATTGAGGCGTAAAATATCGCCAGCGTGGATCTATTTCGACGCTTACGTGGCGACTGATGCGTCGTCGCCCGTAATCCTCTTGACAGGTACACCAGTCTGCTCCTCTTCGTACGCGTCGTGGTTCATGAAGAGCAGCGGAATCATGCCAATCAGACAGCCAAGAGTGATGCCACCGGCGGAGGCGAAGAAATTGCACCAGAGCGTGATGGACATGTTGGCTTGGGCTTTGGAGAGCATGGGGTCTGGAATGCCCAAACGCCGAGCCAAGCCCTCAATTCCTCCGCCCAGACTCAGACCCACCACGTCCGCCACCGTATTACCCAGGGCAGCAGCACACAGCATCGACATGGCGTAGGACGAATGGAAATGCGTCTCGATAGCGTCTCCTGCCACCAATAATATCAGGTTGTCGATAAGGCCGAAACCCATGAATGGGATAGCCGACCCGATCATGACATACCGTAGTTGACGACGAGTTGGTGGAGCTAAAGCTCGAGAAGACAGGGAAGCGGCTGGGTTGCTACTTGCCACTGGACGGAGACGAAAGCGAGACGTAAGCAGTCCACGCAGCTGGTCGTGGCTCAACAGACCGTCTTGGTCTGTGTCGGCGGTCTTGAGGATCTTTTCGAGCTCATTCGTGTAGTTGCTCGCCACTTTGGTGATGACGTTGTACCGCTCCGCCTTGGACAGAGTCTGGAAGCGTTCTACCAGCGCATCCACGGAGGTTTTTGGCTTCGGTTTACTGCGCCCTGGCGCTTTCGGGAGGGAGCTTTTCGACTTTACAGGCTTGACAGGTTGAAATTTGACAGGCTGGTACATTTGTGATATTGCGGACGCTCCCCACTGCATCGTCGTAGCAGATCGGCGAGTTTGGACTTTGGTGCGACATATACCCGCGAACGCAGCGTTCGTGCGCCTGCGCGTCTTGGGACCCGCGGATATATTTCGATAGCGCCTTATAGTGCTCATTGCAGAAAAAAATAAACAGATACAGGGCGTGGAGGCAACGCGAGAGATCGAGCGCGGAGTCGAAAGTGGAGGCCCTTGCCTACTGTAGTTGCATCACAACAATAGCACCAGCTCAGGCAAAAATAATTAAGTCCCAAGTGGTGATAAGACGGCGAGTTCATCAACGCAGGAATAGACACATTACTTGAAAACAGTGTGCATGTGCCAACGCAAATATCACTGCAACGGCATTTTGCATGTTGCGTTTATTGTTGCGTGATGCAGTTGCGCACCATACGCAATGTTGCTCATATAGCGCAACTCTTCCAACTTCGCGCAACTTACCCATCTTCACTTGGCAAATTGACAATGCGATACAGGTGCGTGTTGCCGTCCGTCGATTCACCTCCTCTCTCTTAACCTTCCTGCTCCGCCACAGTGCATTAGCCGGATCCCTCGCAGCCCTCGCTGGTCTATTAGGCAAACTCGGTGCCGATGGCGATTCCAGCGCCCTGCAGCTGCTCGATGCGCAGTGTCAATCGTCCGCTCTATCCGCTTCCTGCTCTCTCCTCTCCTCTGCCATGCGCGTGCTGTGTCTAGCGCTTATGCTGGGTGCGAATGGCGTCATGCTCAGCTGCTTCGTCAAGGGGCTACACGAGACAGACTCGCTCACTGCCACCGTCACCAGCGCGGCCGTCAACTTCGTGCTCTCAGCAGCTGGTGGCTTCTTCTTCTTCCAGGAGCATCTTCCCATGCGTTGGTTCCTCGGAGCTACTGTGATCCTCATAGGGATGGCGTTCCTACTGCATGGAGACGCAGCTCCTACAACATCAGAGAAGAAGAAGGACTAGTCAAGTATACATGTATACTGTGGCTTTTACTGTATCTAAAAGGCGCTGACTGTAACTGTAACTCTTACTCGCCGTCATCCGTAATCCCGTTACTGCCACATACGTTAATCGCGGCAGGCCAATGGTTCAGCACAGCCAGCTCCAGCCACGGATGTGACGGGTAGCCGACACCGCTAAACCAGTCGGTGAAGTCTTGAAGAGCCACTTCCTTCTCAAGATCCGGATCTTCAGCCTCGACGTAAGACTGTAAGACCGCGTCGGCTCCAAGCTCGGCGGAATAGCGAGCCACTTCAGCGCTAAGGGAGCTACTCATGCCGTAGAACGCCATCAAGAAGCACATGAGACTCGACTTGATGGTCTCCAGCTTGACGGTGGGTCCTTCGGTCTCCTCTTCGCCTTCTCCTTCGCCTTTCAGCGTACTCGCGCCGTCGTCGTCGGAGATCAACGCAGCACAGCACTTGAGCTTCTCCAACATGGAGCCTTCACACACCACCAGCATGCCACAGATCGCTGCGCCAACATCCACGGGGTCTTCCGCTTCGTCGTCTTCATCGCCGTCTGCAGCGATCTGCTCGTCTTCGTCATCCGACGCAGGCTCGCGCACGAACACTCCAAGAAGACGTTGCAGCATATCCACGCCTTCGTCACTTAGGAACCCTATCTGGTCTTTCGAGCCACTCGACGGAGCGATGAGTGGCAGCGTCCCACATACTTTCTGCAGTGCTCGGAGGAACGTACTGCGTCGTGTCAACATGATGCCAGTGCTATTGGCCGTGGGGAAGTCCAATGCTTCCAATACAGCGCCCTGTAATTCCCATGAGGTAACGCTGTGTAATTGAGTCTGTCGTAGGAACAATTTAAGGGTCGAGATGTCCTCATTGAAGAACTGCAACTCGGCCGCTTCTTTGGCGACTGCGAACACCATAACAGGTCCGTCCGAGCTCAGACTGAGCGCACCCGTTGACTCGCGAGGATCTTGCTTCGTAGCGTGGTCTGCAGTGGGGAGGCCATGCACAAACGGCGTCGACACAATGTCGCTCTGACGCACTTGACGTCGACGTGTCACGGGCTTGACTGTCTGTTGGATGGGCTGCATGGGCTCCACTGGCAACGGGGCAGCAGTCGACATGGGTCCACGACTCTGAGAGCCCATAACAGGAGCCGTGCGCTTGCTCTGGTACGTCGAAGCCGGCCCAGCTGCCGACATTGTCTGATCCTGGAAGTCTTGTTGCTGTTGCCACTTACTGACGTCAAGAAGCTCCACCCACGAGATCAACTGGTAGCCTCCCGTGTTGTACCATTCGCCAAACTGCTCAAAAGTTACACGAGCCCGTGAACGCGCACTACCGTACCCAGAGAGTCCGTTAGTCGCTGAGATAGTCGCGCCTCCATTCGCCGTCACGTCCGTCATGAGATCGCCCATCGCTTCCTCGATGAAGTCGTCAGCTTCGACGTAAATCTTCTCCAGGCCAAGACGATACGTGCCGTCGCTGAGTGCCATAAGAGCCAGTAAGAACGACCGCAAGTAGATGAACAACACTGAGTGAGGCAGTGCGTTGATCTCTGCGACGGAGAGCGGGGGCGCCTGTCGGCTACGCATGCCTTGAGCCGTCGATCCAAAGCCACGCGTACTGGGGAATCCAAATCCGCCTCCACTCATCGAGAAGTGACTGCTCGGAACACCTCCAAGGCCAAATCCGAAGCCCCCCGTGCCTGTTCCGGACGCTCCAAAGCCACCGAAGCCCGTCGTAGTGCTCGGAGGTGGCGGCGCATAACTCGCCAGTGTTTTGTGTCTCTGTTGCCGCATTTTCGTGATGAAGTCGAACGCCAACGAGAGTTTCTGGCTCTTGGAGCCTCGGCCGAGGATACTGAGGCCGCATGCGAGTTCCAGCGCATTCACACGACCACAGCGCTTGCGGTCGAAGACGTTAAACAGCCGAGAGAGCAGCTTGGACGACGTCTGCTGCGCCTTCTCCGACATGTTATCCTTGGCCACCAAGCTACGCACGCACTCGTAGAAATTCGTGCGCGTCAAGACGAGATACGCGCCTTCGTCTTCCTCCACTGCAGCGTACGAGTACATCTGCCCCCTGCGACTCTGCGTCCCAACTGCCTTCGACATCTTGAGCGCCTCCTCGGCCGACGGAGTAGCGTACGCCAACAGCGCGTCGTACACTTTACTGACACTCAAATCCCCGAGCTTCGTGGACCGCAACATGAAGAGATACGTCGAGATGTCGCTCTCGGTGAAGTGCAGGATGCTGCCTTCCTCCAGCATGTCGAACGCATAGATCAGAGGCTTCTCGCGCTTGCTGGCCTCGAACGCCTCCTTGGCGGGCCACTTGGACAGATCCAGCAGCTCCAGCCACGGACAGTCCATATATCCCCCCGCAGCATACCACGCAGCGAACTCCGCTAAGCTGATCGAGTCAGGACGCTTGCATGTGGCTTCACAGAAGAGCTTGGACACTACGGCACCTGCTGCACGCTCCGCGATCGAGTTTGTGCTCCAGGAATTGACAGACCCCGCGTCGTTCGAGTGGCCTCGTGTCGCGTTGTAGCTACTGAAGGCAAACAGCACCACGAGGATCGATTTCAGCATCTCAAACAAACGACGTCGAGAGACGTGGCCGTCTCCGTGTGACGCGAACAGCTTGAACAAAACGCCGAGCTTGGCACTCTTGGTAGTCCCGCAGAACACACACATCCCGGCCACAAGCTGCAGCATCTCCACGGCTATCGTGTGCATCCCCACTCCGTTCTGCTCTCCGTCGCAGTCTCCATTGGACTCGTTCTGCTGGATCGCACTCTCGCTCTCGAACAACGTGAAGATACGTAGCAAATGGAACGACAGAAACTCCTGGTCCTCATTGGACAGTTCGTCACGAGGCACCAGGTCGCGCATGGCTCGTAGATAACCAGGTTTGGTCAGCGACCGGTTGTGTGCGTGCTTCTTCAGCAGATGCACGAGCTCGCCCGTCGCCATTCGACTCAAGTTCATCCGCTCCGAGATCGTGTACACGATGGCGACATCCTTCAAGCGAATACGCAGCGTCGTGTTGTCATAACTCGTGAGCTTGAACTGCAGCGCCACAGACGAGAGATCCTTGGATCCAGTTGCCGAAGCGGACGGAGACGTGACGAGGTGCGAGATCCCGCTCACCGCGTCCATGCCAGCCTCCACCGCGTAGCGGTCTATCGTCCGAAACGCTGTCGTATCCAGCACCGTCATGTCCGACTCCGGGAAGTTTGGCTGCAGTGAGTCATGCGGGCGGTTCGTGCTCTCGTTTGAAGACACCGTGTCGTTAGACGAGCCCGAGCCTGTCTCGTCCGAGCCCATTTGTGTGGCGTTCTCGAGCGCATGTTGCTGGTGGCTAATGTAGCGTAGAATTGCGTCCGATACTGAGCGAGGCACCTCGGGCCATTTCTTGGTGTCTAGCAGTTCAATCCACGCGATAATCGTGTAGCCATGTTGCGAATACCAGACCGCAAACTCCTCGAAAGACACGACACCGCCACGAATGAATGCACTGCCAGCACCAGCACCCGAAGCATGCGACGCAGCACCGACAAGCTGGAGATTTCCATCTCCCGGGAACGATCCGCGGTGTTCATAGCGTCCACTGCGATGAAGACGCGACGAACTTCTGAATGACGCAGTGTCCGCTGACAACGGGAGATCCAAACTGTGCCGTTGACTGCCTCCTTGCATCGAAGTGTTTGACTGTCGTGTACTGAACGTCTTGTCCGTGTCTTTGAAGATGCAGTCCGCTATCTCGATCGCTGTGGTGTCTGCCACACTGGCAATAGCCTCAGCAGAGAGTTCCGAGCCATTCCCTAGAGCCAACAGCATCGTCAAGAACGACCGAAGATACTTCCACATCTCTCTGCGCGTAAGGCAGCCGTCTCCGTCAGCGTCGAATAAACGATACGCGAACGCGAGTTTCTCGCTCTTGGAGCCGGCACAAAAAATCGTAAACGCCGACACGAACTCGACCAGGTCGATCTTGCCGGTGCCGCCTCGATTGAAGGCGAAAAACAGTCTGCTGAGCGTATCCGCCACCATTTTCGGGTCTTTCCCGCGTCCCACACTGCGCGGCGGGATGCGCGAGTTGCTGTTTGCTCCAAAAGCAGCCGCCACACTGGGAGCGACGTTGACGGGTAAGAGTCTGCCCACGCACTTGTCGAACGTGCTCTTCTCGATACACGAGGACGCTGGGTCTTCCATGAATGGCTCGAACACGTCGTAGACTCGATACAACTGCACCTGGTTGAGCTTGATGACTCGCTGCAGCTCGAAGTACTGGATCAAATCGCCGTTGTCGAAGCTTAACGTGGTTATCGGCAACTCCGTGATGGCGTCGTCATCGGCGTCGAACGGCAAGTCGAACTCCAACACGATCTCGTTCTTCAGACAGATGGCTGGTAGTGTAGCGGGGATGCTGCTGTTGTACGAACGTACCGCAGTGGAGGAGGACTCGATGGACGCCGGCAAAGCAGGCGGATCCCTGGTCGATGCTGCGTCTTCGTCGTCGTCCTCGTTGATAACGTCCGCGAAGGTAAAGTACGGCTTTTGGACTCCTGGCACGCCATCTGGAGGGTCTGCAGCGTCGATATCCACTTGGATATTGTTGGCAGTGTAGTAGTTGTTACTCGCCACAACAGGGTCCACCGAGCGGGTGTCCAAACCTTCCAAACTGAACGAAGGCGATACAAATACCCACTTGCGAAGGTCCAGCAGCTCCAACCAGCTCATTCCTTTAAACCCTCCGCCGTTATACCACAAACCGAAGTCTTCAAACGTGTACAGACCAAGGCGCATGTCTGAGTTCACACGCGCACGGTCGCCATCAATCTCGTCCACGTAATTGTCATCGTCTTCGGTCTCAGGGCCTTCCTTCTCCTCGTCCTCGTCCTCTTCATCGTCATATTCTGCGTCACTAGAGAGTCCTTCCATGATGGCTTCCAAGATCTCTTCTTCGCCTTTGTCCACGAGTTCCGCCAACGACCCATATCTCTGCAGTACAATCTCCGTAGGCGGCGACAAGTGAAGCAATGTGATCAGAACCGACCGTAGGAACCTCCAGAGCTGCTGACGATTCAAATAGCCTTTACTATCCGCGTCAAAGTAATGGAACGCCGACGCGAGCTTGTCACTCTTGGAGCCCCACGACATGAGGCTGAACCCCGCCGCGATCTCAAAGGCGTCGACGGTAGGACACTTCTCCGGTAGGAAGGAGCGGAAGATCGCCAACATACTCTCCAAGAAGGTATTGTTCTCCATCAAATGAGGCTTGTCAGTCATACTGAGCAGCTCCTCAATCGCCTCCAGGAACGTCTCTTCCTCCAGTAAGCCATCTCCTGTGTGCTGTACAAAAGTATCGTACATTGCCTGCGGATTCACGCGAGTAAACGCCGATTGCTCCAATAGATCGTACAGATCGATGGCTTGTTGCTCGCCGATCGTCAACACACCGCCATCCACACTGGAGAACCGGAAGCTGAGCTCAGCAGAGTCTTCTTCTTCTTCTTCATACTCGTCCTCTTCTCCTCTCTCGCTGCTTGTAGGGGGGTCGTCCGGTAACCCCCACTTAGTCGGTGTGCCTGGAGGTGTCGCGGCGGTTAATTTCTTGGATCCAGGCCACTTTTTCTGGTCGAGAAATTTAATCCACGGCACAGATTTACTGACACTGCTATTGGATTCTATCCACGGCCAGATGTGCTCTTCATACGACGCCGTGGCGTCTTTCGCCAACGAATTGGCTGCAAACATACGCGCCACCGTCTCATCGACACAAGTTGTAACAATAGACGCGGTGGACTGCAACTGGTCGTCTGTTGCAGTCTCGAGATCGAAGACGCCAGAGACGGAGAGAAGCAAACAGCCCAGAGCGGTTCGAGCAATCGACAGCGTGACTGGACTGGAGCCATCCACGCCACAGCCGCAGAGACTGAACTGGATTGCCACCTCCACTTTGCGCTGCACTTCACCAGGTAGCAGCACCAGACAACCGGTCGCTAATTGGTAGATATCCGTGCGGTTGGTGGCTTCAAACGAGCGATAGATTCGCTCCAGCGTCTCCTCCATGGGCTTGAACGTCGCTCCTGTTCGGAGTTCAGGTAGAGAGCGTACCAGGTCCACGAACTCGTCCTTCTCTAGCAGAGACGCGCTGTTTGCAGTTGCTCGCGCGTCCACAGTCTGTATGAGTGTCTCGATGCTGCAGGTGGCCAGCTTAGAGGCCACAAGCGCGTTGCGAACGGTCCACACGCGCTTGGACTGCAGCGCCAGCGAGCAACAGGGCATCACGAACGGTAATTGCATCAACGTATCGGCACTGGAGGCCGTGGGCGATGAGGGAAGTGACGGAGCCTTGTCCGAGCTCATGTTGCTCTGTAGAGGAATCTCAATGGCAGGCACTGAACGTCGCGGGCTCTTTGGCGGCCGCGGACTCTTGGGCGTCGGCGGCCGGTCCATGGCAGAGCAAGTTTCGCAATGAAGCAGAGGGCGTGGGACAATGGACACCGGACACAGCGTAGGTTCACACTAGAGCGTCTTTGAGGTGGCTTCTTCCCCCTCTTGAGCGCTTGCTCTCTCTCTACCGCGGAGTACTCGGTTGTCGCCGCTGTAATGATCTTTTTTTTTCTCGAACTGCACTCTGATCCTGCAACTTTGCCTTTCCATGCGGGGAGTTTGGAAAAGCAAAACGTTGCAAGATGAGGACATGTCGTTATCAGGTGTGACGAAGAGTCGCGGTCTTTTACCGGTGTCGACGAGGTTGGGGAATGTAGCCGTGTAGATACTCGCGATCCAAGAGTCTTGAACCAAGACGTCGATGCCCACTCGACCGACCTGCGCAGTGCTCGTGTACGTTGTCGCCAGCGCCATCTGCCCGCTCGTGCGTGGACAGCTGGGCGTACCGACAGGCAATCTCTGCGCCGCTCTGAACAATTGCAACGCGCATGGACGCTGTGACGCATTGACCAAGACCTGTACTTGTTACGAGGGCTTCGGTGCCCCTACCGATATCACCAATTATCGATCACCTGACTGCTCCATGCGTGTGTGGAATGCTCAATATTTCTCTGCGTGTGACTCTTGTTTACTCATAAACTTTGAGTTGTCACAGGAACATGTCCAGCAGGTCCGTCATGGGGAGGGATCCCCAATAGTGCTACGACATCTCATCCCAAGGAAGAGTGCTCTGGCGCTGGAGTATGTGATCGCAATACAGGCACTTGTTTTTGCTATTACGGCTACGAAGGATCAGCCTGCCAGAGGAGTACGTCGGACATCAGGACGCTGACTGAGTGAGTATAGTCCCTGACGTGAAGCATGTCGACAGGTAGTTGCCCTAATAGCTGCTCCGGTCATGGCCAGTGCATGAGTATGCGCGAGCTGGCGGTGGAGCCCAGTGCATTTCCTCTATCACCTCCTACAAAGTATGAGGGCGACGTGAGAGCGACGACATGGGACCAAGATCGTATCCAGGGCTGCTTGTGTGACTCGACCTGGCCGGTAGGTCTCGGCGCTGGCGAGTCCCAGCTCTCGCAGTATTTCGGGCCCGACTGCTCTAAAAGTACGTGGAAGACTACATAACTGCATGGATTAAGTAGCGAGTACTCACGTGCTTGCAGTGCACTGCCCGTCAGGTGACGACCCGATGACTGCAGTGGACGAAACGAAGTGTGTCGGTATCGTCGCCACCGGTGGCGCCGGCACTGGCGGGCCGGACAATCTGTGCCACGTAGATTGTGCTAATCGCGGCATCTGCGACTACAACACCGGCGAGTGCTCGTGTTTCTCCGGGTTCTACGGCTCCAATTGCGCCAGCCTTTCGCCGCTCGTGTAGTGCATTGTACCGGTACGCAATTTGCGCAGGTCGGAAGACCGGTTAAAGTCGGTCAACCAATCATTTCACTTTAAATTAACCGTTGGACTGCGTCACTCCTGGCCAATCATGGCGACGTGTTGAGCAGCTCATTGCAAAGTTGGCGACCTGAGAAACAGGACGGAGATTTATTCAAGTAGTTTGACTTGTTTTTTGTCTGAGGCTTGCTTGCTCAACCATACGGCCTCGTCGCAGTCTCGGTGGTGACTTGGTCTGAGCATGGCGAGCCCAAATCGAGCATGGGGGTCGAGGGATCCCTTCGGATGAACTTGTGAAGAAGGGGTTTTCACGATCCTCTCCATACCAACCCCAATCGATGCTTTTTGGCACTCAGAATACTTACTAGTACTGTAAGTTTGTGCAGTTTCCGGAGCCTAGAGTAGTACAGATCTACTACTTTCTCAAAGCAACTGCAAAAGCGGCCACGGGTTTCATGTGCCGGTACTGCAATGGTGTACATGTAATTGTAGAGCACAGCAAAGCTGCAGTCAATAACCCGGCACGTACTAGGAATAATAAATGTCCTTCGCCAAACTCTGCCGTTGACACGGTGACAAGTTAACTTTCTGCACTAACGCCACTACGGATATTTTTTGCTGATGTACTCTGTACTTCAGAAACAGTCACAGTTCTTGTCCATGTTGCTCAATTACATCTCTCCATAATGGAAACCATCGAGTGAACCATGCTCTACGCTAGACCTCGCTTCTAGACGGCCCAAGTACTGGGAATGGTACCCATATGCAGGACAAGCAAACAGACGAAGCTGTTAAAATGTGGTCATGTGTTCTTCCTCATTTCACTGATTTGCTGCGTTTGCCGCTACCTATCTCGCTCCCACAAACTTAGGCGCGGCGAGCGTGGTGGGCAGCAGCGTATTTATCGAAAGCCGAGTCCTGGGATGATTGCCTGCGCAGAACACAACATCAGTAACGTACTCACCGCTGAACGTTCCGCATCTTTATTGCTAACATACCAGTACGACGCAGCGGCCATAGCCGCACCAGCAGCAACACCCGCACCAACACCCACGCGCATGCTCTGCTTCACAATTCCGGGCACAACGCCAACCAGAGCGCCGCCCACAGCAGCATTGACTGGGTCCTCCTTCTGTCGAATCAAGGCTGACACGTATTCACCCGTGGAGAAGATACAACCGACAGCAGCGAACACGAGCTGAATGGAGCAACAAGCAGCACGCCAGGCAATACATTAGTTCAAGGTAAAAAAAATGTTTGTCTCAAAGAAATCATCATACCGAGCGCGTGCCGAGGTGCTTGAGCTGGTTTGACAACTTGGGCAGCTTGGCGCCTAATGTATATATATATCAAAGATGAGTATTGTCTCTAATGACGCACAGCGGATAACTGCAACGCACCAAGCTTCGGGATGGACCACACGGACTCGACTGAGCCAATGGCGGCGCCAAAGAACGCGCCCGTGGCCTACACACAAAGCGTAAAACGTTAAATGGATCTATGCAGATGTGTTGGAGTGAGGATCAGCAAGCGGAGATAGCTACATACCGTCGTGTACATGATCTTCTCGCTTCCGGGGGTTCCGTCCATTTTCGTTGCTGTACCGACCGAGCTCCGTGTGCGGCTCTCCGAAGCTAAGCCCAATTTGCTATTCTAATTGGTCCAGTTTTGTCACAGACTTTAAACGCCACAGAAAACACTACCGTCACAGCCTTTACAGCCTAAAATAGACATAGGATCGCGAGGTACATTTAGATGTATAGACAAATTGACCAAAACTTTACTATAATATCTTTGTGCTTGGGGCAATACGATAGTGTGTGAAGCTCTGCTGATGCATCGTGATTGCTAGTTGAAAACTACTCCAACACCCGTGAGAAGGCCACTGGCCAGCTCCAATTTCTGTTTTATCTCCCACTATGGGAGGAATTGCTTTGTTAATTCAAACAACCTCCGCGTAAGAAATAACGCACCTTCAAAATAATTTAGACAGAGCTCCGCGGGTTTTCCCAGTATTTAGATTTGCAAAGGACCGAGGAAAGAACTGATTCTTCGGACTGCCCAAATATTTTGCTATTTTTGAGAGAAGTCGGAGTTTTCCCGGCATAATATAATATCCGCAAGATTCCAACCATGCATCGTCCATGAAGAACTGTACTCAGCCAATACACCAATTAGATTGCAAGATTAATGTGATTTTATCCAATGATGAAGTCTTAAAAAGTAACCACCAATTCCTACCAATCCGACCATATTTAGTTGGAATTTTTCAGAATATGCTGTACTCTTTACAAATATTCATATAGTGGCATATTCTAAAAATATCAGGAAGTTTCCAACCCGAGGTGGCGGTTGGCAGCTGTTTCCTAAAAGACATCATTTTGCAGAGCTGTGACCATGTCTATCGCGTCGCTAGCGCCACCTAACAGTAAGAAGGCCCGGGTGACGGCGATCAACTCGTTCAGCACGTTTCTTTCTTCAGAAAACATCACACTAGAGCATGTTCAACAGCTTATCGACGCTGACAAGACCGGTAGGGTACTTCGAATTGTACTAGATAAATATGCGTATTCTCTAGCTAGATCGACAGACAAAACTCGATCTACCAATACATGTCTAGCCTATTTCGGAAACGTAAAGAACTGGTTGATAGATAAATACCCACAGCAAGGGGGGACAGTAAAGCCCCAGCTGCAGAAGATCCTGTCTGGGCTTGGTAAGTACTGTACCAATCGCGAGGATGGGGCTTTTGAAAAGAAAGCTCCACCGTGTTCCAAGCAAGATCTAGAAAATATCGCTCGCCTACTTTATACTTCTGATTCTGCTGAGAGTATCTATCCGGATGCAGCTCTGGTTGTGATGCTGTGGTATTTATACGGACGTAGCTCGGACGCAGAGCAACTTGAAAAAAACCAGCTCTCGATTTTACCTGGTAAGATCATTGACTATTTTATTTCTTTATATATTGACAATTACGCTAACTGGAACCTTGCAATATGTAGGTGGCGTACTCTTCCTACGCTTTAAGCGGATTAAAGCAGCTTTGCTACAAGGTGTATCCTTGTTCAAGGACCCGACAAGTTTTTTAACTTGTCCACTATTCGTTTTAGCTGCTGCTCTAACCATACAGAATGCGCCAAGCAAGCGTCTATTTCCTCAGTTTACCAGTACAAGGCATATCGGAGCTAATGCTGGCGATGTAGAAAACCTCAGTCTCGTAGAGCTTCTCGAGGCAGACGACAGCCCCGCATCCTTGCCAGACCTGCACCAGTCGCCAGCTACCAGATCGATTCCTGGTGCACAAGCGTACGTGAACCGATTACTGGTTCGAGTCAAGAACATTGCAGATCAGAAGCAGGTCAAACTCACACAAGGACTTACCTCCCACTCTTTTCGTCGAGGAGCTGCCATGCACGCCAACGATGGAACTCTTGCAGAAAACTGGATTATAGAGCGGGGCGGTTGGCAGCTTGACCGCGTCAATAAGGCGTTTGGGTACATGTTGGGTACAACGCAGGCAGATCAGCAAGTTGCGCGTGTCCTGAGCGGATGGAAACCAAAAGAAGGCGCACGTCTTCCTTCGTTGCGTATCTTGAAGCCGTCTGTGCTGTTCCGCGCCCAAGTACTGCATGGTCTACTTTTCACGAGCTCCCTGGGCTTTGCAGAGCCTGGCATGAACCTAAACGAAGACGTAGCAGAGGTCTTGTCAGCCACCCTCATCATGCACTACCCCGACATGCTGCTGCTCTCACGCGAAGGAGCACTGGTTGCCCGCATTCGGGCGGCCATGTCAGCACGAGCCATCGGGGAAGCGGAAGTACTTGCATGGAGCAGCACAATCCGCCGTGCTTTCATGCCACCATCAGCGATAACCAAGCCCAGCGTTAGCGACTCTCACTCTGCTGAGGTGCTAAGCCTCATGAAGCGCCAGTCCGAGCAGATCAGCGTTTTAATCCTGCAAAATCAGCGCCTAGAGGAACGACTGTTAGCTGTAGAGGCGAAATTGCACTCACCGTCGGCTCCAGCCAAAACTGTTGCGGGTTGTGTATCACAGCCTGACCAACAAATTGCCATCCGAGCTGTTCGTCCGAAGAAGAAGGGCTCGCAGTCTCTTGCAGCAGTCTTATACGAATGGTTTACGGCCGAGCCCCGCGTTTATGCCTCGCGCTCTGTGAAGAAAACGACGCTGTACGAGCTTAGACACACCGCAGGCTACATGATGCTTTTCTTACCTCATGGATTTTCACTTGATGCTTCGTCTCCTGCGTTCAAGAGTGAGGTGGTCGCGCTTGGTGAGAAAGCGCAAGTGAGCACGCGGGACTTCTTGAAGACGAACGGGTCCTCAGCAGCAGCAGCGGGTACGGCACTGAAAGCCCTTCGCAATCTACACAAGGCTGGAAAGCTTGACGCACATATAACCCAGTTCCACGAGCGTGCTGAGCGTGGTGACGTTGTCGATCCAACACCACCTTCGGCGCTGCCAAAATTCATTCGTAACAACCCCCCCAAGCGCTGAGCCTGTAGTACACATAATACAGTTAAGTAACAGCACCAGATCTCACCTTACGCTTTGAACAGTATAATTCCTGGCAATAGATAACAGCTTCCGCACTAACGCATTATCTTATATTACAAACAAAGCTGCAACAGCAAGTTAGAAACGACATGCTCACTCATGTTATGCAGCAGCAAAGACTTATCATATTTAATACTAGTGTGGCCTCGATGTAGGTCGTAGATAGTCTTCGGCCGCATCCAGCAGCATTCCGCTCGCCCTTACGGGTTATTTCACTTCACATGATTCATCTACGGGGACGGCAACGGCGGGAGTAGTGAGGCGTGAGTCCCTGGTAGTGATGCCGCGCGCGTAGAGGTGCGACCGAGGCCTTGAGGTCGCAGGAGGGCCGTAGAATTGCGCTCCGCCCTCACCGCTGCGCGCTCGTGGCCGTGGTTTGTAGAATGGCGTGTGGGCCCTCAGAGAGAAGGGATTTTTTAATTTTGTTTTTATTATGTGTAACACATGTACCGCGCAAAGTCCGATTTTTAACTGGCAGATCGTACCGGTATCAGGTTGGAACCCAGTCGGACAGTTGGAAATTTTACGGTATGGAGCAGCGTATCTTTGCGCCGATGTCTCAATTTAACGTCCGTACCGCCTCCGCTTTTTCCTGATCGTCTCTCCATCATGAGCTTTAAGATCAGGAAAGTCTTGTTGAGCGTCTTAGCCGTAGTGTCTGCAAAGGCGAGCTCCACTTGTTCGATCAGCTCCTCAGTATTTCGTGGGCCAGTACAGGATAGTAGAAGAAAACCCAAATTAAGACAGTTCAGGTCGGAACTTTGAGCAGGCTGATGGAGAAGCTTGATATTCCACCCACAAGAGGTGCCAGCCTCCATTAGAGATTTTTCGGAGACGATTGGAGTTGAGTTTGAGTTTCGCTCTTCGCCATTTTATGAAGGCTGAAAGGAGAATGCAAGCCAGCCAAAACTTACCCTTCGAAGGCCGCCATATTCAGATTTCGTTTAGGCGACTGGTGATGACAGGGCTGTCGTATGTTTAGCGTCAGAGAAAGACGTTCGACTCAAAGGGTCACTCATACTAAGCTCCTTATCCAAAGGACACTTACAGCCCACGACCAGGGCTCAAAGCTGACACCTTAACTTTTATGCTTCAAAACCAAAAAGGTTTTATTTTCTATTATTGCGGCCAAGCCGCCTTGGGGTAGGTGTATCTGTCTAACTATCTATCATAGTTAAACCTAATTAAATGCATAACGTGTGACTTTCAGCCAACGTACTGAGAGACCTTGTTAGCTCTCCAACTTATGTACTGAGAGTTGGTTAACTCTCCGGGTACTTCGTACACTATGTGTTCCACAACAAGTAACATTGTTACACTCTCCCCCACTAAGATGAGAACATTCCGTTCTCGAAACTTTCCTTAGCGAGGTCACGTCTTGTAAGACGGCGGAGGTAACTACACCTGACGTCAGCGTTGTACAGCTCCGTGAGCTCACAAACGTCTACGCATCGTTGATGCCCAACTTCTCGTCGTCGGCCCACCGCCCAATGTTCCAAGCCCATCGCGCATCTTGCTCTCAAGCGGCCTCAGACCTACGCTCGCGCTCTGCGCCTTTTCCAAGAGCTGCAAACCGCTTAGAGCTATCTCTTGACTCATTGGAGTCGCTCAGCGGCTGAACCCTCGCTTCACAAGCGATAGGTCGGTGGTTCGATCCCACCAGGCCGTCGCCCTCTCCTTCCATGAACGATTGTCCAAGCTTGGACAAGCTTAAGCCTCTTAGCTCAATGGCTGAGCTTTGCCTTTAAGAGCCACAGGTCGGTGGTTCGAGCCCACCAGGGCACAGGCCTCTCGTTCCATGAGCTGTTGTCCTTGAATGGACAAGCTTAAGGGCAACACCCTTTTAGCTCAGTGGTCGATCGTTGGCTTTGGAAGCCACATATCGGTGGTTCGATTCCACCCGGGCGCAGCCGTCTCGTACCATGAGTAGTCCGTTCTCGGACAGACGTACGGGCATCGCCCTTATAGCTCAATGGTAGAGCTCCGGCCTGGAAAGCCAAAGACCAGTTCGATCCCAGTCCGGGATACCACTTTCGCTGTTACAGCGCATCTACATTTGGATCATGCTCATCGAGCAAGTTGTTTCAAAACAACTATGCGTCAATCGAGACGGTTGTGCCTGAACCCTATTCAGCACCACACGAAGCACCTGCTTCCTTCGGGACCATGTCCCGAACACCACGAGGTCTCTCCACCTCCTGCTCCCGCTGCGAGCACCGCTCAAACGTACGAGCTGGCTGCTGCAGCTACTGACCTGTTCGCTCTCCTGGTGACGCTGAGCGTATACGATAGGCCCTTCCTGGCCACGACCTTGAACGGTCCTATGAACCGAGGTCTCAACTTCGTCTTGAAGACTGCAGACACTGCATGAGTAGGTAGGTTTTTAGCGCTTAATAAAACTTGATCATCGACCTCAGACCTCTCAACATTGCTTCTGCCCTTGGCATCTACATGTTCCTTCTGCGTGTCTTGGCTTTCAACCATAGCGTCGCGTACTTGACGCATTACGCTCGGTTTCAAAGAGACAAAGTCACCGACTTGCTTGCGAACCGCAACAGGGCTGACATCAGCTAGCCGCTCGGCTATCCCTCCCCCATCAAGCCCTGAGCCACTGCGTGGCGGCGTCAGTGGGACGCGAGGGTTAGCCAAGCCGTTCACATAGAACAAAGTGTAGCCTGTCGAGACGTGAACTGCATTATTTAATGCGAGCTCAGCGAGTGGGAGCATCTGGCTCCAGCGTTTTGGCGCCTCAGCGCAAACGCTTCGGCGGATATCCTCCACAACGCGATTAACGAGTTCGATTTGACCATCGGTCTGCGGATGGCCCGCTGTGGACATGTCCAAACGAGTGCCGAGCACTCTTAAAAGAGAGACGTCCAGAACTTCGCGGTGAAGCGCGGGTCTCGATCCGAGACAGTTGTCTTAGGCAAGCCATGTTGGCGAAAGACTCGGTCTAAAAACAGCAAAGCTGTACCTTCACCATCAATGGTGTCCGGCACCGCCGCTAGATGAGCCATCTTGATCAATCGGTCTACAAAGACCACAATACCCGTGTTTCCTGCCTTGTCCTTGGGAAGGCCAAACACAAAGTCCATACTCATGGACTGCCAACATACGTTGGGGACAGGCAAACTCGCCATTGGTGCTGCCGTGCTCGGCGCGGACTTTGTCCGTTGACACATCTCACACGTGCGTACAGATATCGACCCACTTGTACGTCTTGGTCCACCAGTACATCGAGCTCACCGAGCCATAGGTCTTCTCCCGACCAAAGTACCCGCCCATGGGCGTATCATGAACCTCATAGTGGATTGATACCTTAGATCCTCACCATGAGGAACGACTACACGAGGGTTATTTTCAGAGTCGGTGCTGTAGTACAGCAGGCCGCCATCGAGCGAGTATCGATGCAGCCTCGCGCGTAAGTGCCCAGACAAATTCTTGTCAGATTCTTTAAGCTCATCGCTCCCAAGTGCCCGTAGCAGCGCTACGCACATGTCGTCCTGTTCATACGCTCTGCGTATCAAGTCAGGCACTGACGACGTCTCTGTCCTGACATGAGCTCACTCGTAGTCCGGCCTGAGCGAGAGCGCATCGGTCACTACATTAAGCCACCCCGGCTTGTACTTCACCTCGAAGTTGTACTCGGCAAAGAAGGAAAGTCATCTTGCCATTATCTGAGAGAGATGAGGCGCCTGTGTCGCAGTGCGTAGCAACGCATGATCAGTAAAAATCACACAAGGCTTAGAGCCTAGCAGGTGTTCACGAAATTTGACTAGAGCATACTTCACTGCAAGTAGCGAGCTGGATAGTTCTTCTCAGCAGCTTTGAGCTGGCGGGACTCAGACGCAATCACGCGTTCACGCCCTTCGGCGTGTGCCTGTAGTAAAGCACAGCCGATTGCAAAATCGGAGGCGTCACAGACGATGCTAAACGGACGATCCGGGTCCGGTAGCGCAAGGACCGAAGCCTGGAGGAGGCTCTCCTTCACAGCCCCAAATGCTCCGTCGTGCTTGACGTTCCAGCACCATGGTGCGTCCTTTTTAAGAAGATCTGATAATGGCCGAGCCATCTCCGGGTAGCTCGCGCTGTACTTGTGCAAGTAATTGGCTAAGCCTATTCACTTGCGTAAGTCGTTTTGGTTCTTGGGGCCCGGCCAGTCCACGATGGCCTTGACTTTGGCAGGATCTGCCCGTAAGCCTCGCTTCCCAATGAAGCTCCGAGGAAAGGTATTTCCTCCGCGCCAAAGACGCTCTTGTCCAAGTTGGCATACAGCTTATTATTAGTGCGCATGCACTCGAGTATCGCTCGCAAGTGGTCAATGCGGTTCTCCACGTCTGACTTCCCGTGCTCAGCACGACTATGGACGAATATATCGTCAAAGTACGTTTGAGCGTACGCCCGGTGGGGCCTAAACAGCTGGGTCACAAGACGATTGAACGTTGCTGGTGCGTTCGACAGCCCCTGTGGCATGACCAGCCACTCCCAGAGCATACAGCGCGGAGTACTCACCGCTGTCAGCGGAATGTCGCTCGCTCTCATGAGCAATTGGTAGTAGCCATCGACCAAGTCGAGCGCGCTGTACAACGTACAGCCTACCATGTTGTTCTGCTGAGCATCCTTGCGAGGGATCGGCGTTTGCGCCGGTATAGTGGTCGCATTTAGCTTGTTAAATGCATGAACAATGCGCCACTTGCCGTTCGGCTTTCTGACACAGAACGCGGGTGTCGAGTGCTAAGACTTACTCTCACGCATCATCCCTGCTTCGTGCTTCGCACGGAAGAATGCGTCAATGCCGTCACAGTGCTCTTTCGGCAAAGGCCATTGCCTTGTCACGCAGTATTTGATTCCAGGAACCAGGTCAATCTCATGACACACGCCTCGATCCGGAGGCAGGCCCGTCGGTGGGTCTTTCGAGACAACGTCGCCATACTCCTTCACTACAGGATAGAAGGGATCCGAAGGATCTTTTAGGATCGCCGATCCACTTCTTGCGCTCAGCGCCTTCTTGGTGTCCTCTTGGACCGCGTCGTCCACGACGGATGAGGAGCTCAGCTCCTCCTCAGGTCCCAGCAGGACCACCTCGGCTAGCTCGCCTGCCTTCAAGGCTTTGCCAAACGCAGCAATGGACATCTCGTCCAGCTCTAGCAGAGCATCTGCAGCAGGCAGAGTGTCAAGGCTGATGTCGCCTTCGACCTCCTCCGTTCACGAGTGTGTACAGCTACTCACAGCAATCACGTGGAGCCTCACCGCTCGTCACGTTGGACACCTCGTCCAACGTCACAGACGCCCTGCGTCTTCTTCTCCTCTCCCTCCGCGACCGAGCCCGACCGGATGAGGGCGGTGTGGCGACATCTCCATCACCACCACCGGGTGCAGCAGCACCATTACCCTTCGAAGAGGATACAGTGTCTCGCAAGATACTCGGCTGAGAGCCAAGAGGTCCTTGACCCGTACACAGTGAACTAGGTGTCACTTCACCTGCATCTCTTGGGCCACGCCCATGATGCCTCGACTCGCAGTCGACCACGACCCTCGGGCCACACAGCGGTGGGTCATCAACCAGATCCGTACCACTTAGTTGATTACGCACCACTCCGCGTTCGTCCTCACCAGAGCCCAGCAGTTGGTTATTGACCTGACCTTCACCGCTCAGCAGATAACGTGCCGCACCACGTACGCCCTCAGGGCAAACAGCAAACTCGTTGCTAACAATTTCTTACATATCAATGTCCAGCACTACGGCCGCCTCGGCCTCGTGCTCGCGCCATAAGCGCTTCTGCTTCCTAGCAGAGGTGGGTTCATGACTCACCAAAGCTCCACTAGGGGCAGGGTACGACGCACCCAGCGTTTTCAACTTCCAGTCGATCCATGGCTCATGGCGTTCCGGCCATGCCATGCCAAGGATGCGATCATAGGTCTAGGACCAAACAGCGTTTCACGCTATCGAAGTTATCAAACTTCACTCCAAAATCGACACGAGTCGGAAAGAAATCATATCTCTCGTTGGCACTTCCAGTGCCTCAGTATTCAGCTGACTCCCTTCCAGGGTGGAGCGACGGTCGTAGTTGCCCGAGGCTCCCGAGTCAATCAAGACTCTTCATGGCCGCAAAGCCCTTCACGTTCGCTTGAACGACCAGCAAGCCCGGGTTGCACACACTCTTCTCGTAAGAGAGCTCGGCTCTCTTCGGGAATGGGCCCCGTTGCCCTCTACCTCCTTGAGGCACAACAGAACTCATTTCTCCCCCAGTAGACCGCCCCGCGCCTACTGGGTGTTGCTGTTTCCCGGCGATGACCCGGAGGGTTGGCTCACCGGTCTCAGCTCTTGGACATAGTCCAATAACCCCTTCTTACCCTGGCGGGTAGCAAGGAGCTTCGACCGGATACGGTACGCCTGATCAGGCGGCGCGAACACGCGCGAAAGCTGCTGCTTCAGCTGATTCCAAGTGGTAAATGCAGCGTCAACAGACGTGCCGCACGTTAGTGCCCATTCGCGAGCGCAACCTCTAAGCCTGAAAATAGCCAGCGCCACGCGCTGATGCTCAGACTGAAGCAGGGCCGATCCCATGGCCATCTCGACCTCACGGGTCCAGAGAAGGAGATTCTCACCATCCTTTCCTCGAAGGTTTTTACGCTCACCATGAGCGGTTTCAGTCTCATAGACTCTTCACGCGTCATCGACGCCGCCGCCGTTGCAGCGCTCATCTTTTCTTGGACGTGCTCCAAGAGCGCGTTCTGATAGCTGGAGAGCGATTCCAGCCTGGCGGTGTCCGCCTCTAAACC